CAAGAAACCCTTGCAAAAAATAAGGTAAAGTGGACATTCGCGCGCGCAAGACGAAATCCTTCCAAAACCTTAGTGTTCGGAACGATTTTAACATAAAAACATCAAAAAACCAATGGTTTTTCAACAAAAACATGTCAAAATCTCATCCCGCGCGCTCTTGCGGATTCGTAGGAAACCCAACACTTTTTAAACATTTCTGTCAAACGGGCTTTGCGAGCAACTTTTTCGAACTTCTGCAACAACGGTTGCGCACCTGCCAGGGCCATCATCCCTGTCAAATAATACCATGCGGGACACATTCGTTTTTTCTTCGCGCGCGCACGCCGTCGTCGTCGGCCGCGGGGCCCTGAATAGTAGCCACTGTCGTCCGCATGCCACGAAGTGAAGTGTCCGAACGTCATAGGGCGGGAAGCTGGGTGTGGGTGGTGGCGAAGAGTCGTTTGGAAATTTGGTAGAGCTTGAACCGGCCCCCCCACAAAGTGGGGGTATTGCCCGCCTCCTATGAAAACCCTGGCACTGGTGAGAACGGAGTGTCCCCACGTGCTAATAATTGTTGTTGTTGTTGTTGTTGTTGTTGTTGTTGTTGTTGTTGTTGTTGTTGTTGTTGTTGTTGTTGTTGTTGAACATTATTAATACTAAAGAATAATTATTGTTGGGCCCCCTGGTGCACGCCCCCCCCGCCGCGCCTAGGCCGCAGCTTTTCATTCATTTTGTAAATATAGTTTTTTTTTTTATTTTTTTTCCCCGTGAGGAAGTCTCAGGTAAAACGATGTCATCCAGATCCGGTTGTTTTGTTGACGCCCGCTTTCCCTGTCAAAAAACACTATAAAATGACATGTCTTGTTCTAACATAACCAAACTTCAAGAATCCTTTTTGCAAAAAATGTCACGAAGTGCACACTCGCGCGCGCAAGATGAAATCCCTTCCAAAACCTTTAGTTTTCGTAGCGAATAACAAAAAAAAAAAAAAAAAAAAAAAAAAAAAAAAAAAAAAAAAAAAAAAAAAAAAAAAAAAAAAAAAAAAAAAAAAAAAAAAAAAAAAAAAAAAAAAAAAAAAAAAAAAAAAAAAACCAATGTTTTTTTTTCAAAAAAAAGTTTCAAAAATTCATCTTGCGCGCTCTTGCGGATTTCTGAGGAAACCCAATATTTTTTTCAACATTTCTGTCAAACGGGCTCTTGCGAGCAACTTTTTCACGTGCGTCGAACTTCTGCAACCACGGTTGCGCGCATGTCAGGGCCATCATCCCTGTCAAATAATACCATATTGGACACATTCGTTTTTTCTTCGCGCGCGCACGCCGTCGTCGTCGGCCGCGGGGCCCTGAATAGTAGCCACGGTCGTCCGCATGCCACGAAGTGAAGTAAGTGTCCGAACGTCATAGGGCGGGAAGCTGGGTGTGGGTGGTGGCGAAGAGTCGTTTGGAAATTTGGTAGAGCTTGAACCGGCCCCCCCACAAAGTGGGGTATTGCCCGCCTCCTATGAAAACCCTGGCACTGGTGAGAACGGAGTGTCCCCACGTGCTAGTAATTGTTGTTGTTGTTGTTGTTGTTGTTGTTGTTGTTGTTGTTGTTGTTGTTGTTGTTGTTGTTGTTGTTGTTGTTGTTGTTGTTGTTGTTGTTGTTGTTGTTGCTATAGCTGATGGCCTCGATAGCTGATGGCCCGTCTGGCTCCTCCGTTCGCCCTCCCCCATCTGCTGGGCCCCAGTTTTGGGGGGGGGGAGAAAGAAGCCCGCTGCCACTGCTCGCCTCTCGCGCATGCGCTGATCCCAGAACTGTAGCTGATGACGCTTGGCCCCACCTTCGCCTCCCACATCTCGCTGAGCAGTGGGAGAGCCTGCTGCCACTGCTCGCCGTTCGCGCACGCGCTGATCCTGGAGTTGTAGCTGATGGCATCTGGCTCTAACCTCACTTCCCAAATCTCGCAGAGCAGCGATCGAGCCCGCTGCCACTGCTCGTCTTTCGTGCACGCGCTGATCCCAAGGAGCTGTAGCTGATGACGCTTGGCTCCACTTTCCCCTCCCAAATCTCGCAGAGCAGCGATTGAGCCCGCTGCCATTGCTCGCCGTTCGTACACGCGCTGATCCCAGGGCTGATCCCAGAGTTGCAGCTGATGGCATCTGGCTCCAACCTCACTTCCCGCATCTCGCAGAGCAGCGATAGAGCCCGCTGCCACTGCTCGCCTTTCGCGCACGCGCTGATCCCAGAGCTGTAGCTGATGACGCTTGGCTCCACCTTCGCGTCCCGCATCTCGCTGAGCAGTGGAAGAGCCTGCTGCCACTGCTCGCCGTTCGCATACGCGCTGATCCCAGGGCTGTATCTGATGCCATTCGGCTCCAACCTCACTTCCCACATCCCGCTGAGCAGTGGTAGAGCCCGCTGCCACTGCTCGCCTCTCGCGCGTGCGCTGATCCCTGAGCTGTAGCTGATGACGCTTGGCTCCGCCATCACCTCCCGTGTTCCTCCTCCCCCTCCACGTCCTGACTCCCTGGCTCGCTGCCACTGCCTGCTGACGTCGAGCGCGGTTATCTTCGCCTCCTCCTCCTCCTCCTCGACCTGGTCCTGCTCGTCCGCTGCCTTCTCCTGCTCTTCTATTTCCTCCTCTGCCGCCTCGCTCTCCTCCCTGGCTCGCTGCCACTGCCGCTGCCCATTTTTCGCACGTGCGCTGGCCCCAGCGATGCAACTGATGACGTTGGGCCCCAGTTTGGGAATCAGCAGCGCCACAGCCTGCTGCCACTGCTCCCTTGTCTCGCAGGCGCGGCTGGGTCTGGACTCCAGGCGGGGGTGGGGCGGGCGGGGGACGGAGGGCGAGGGGGCGAGGGGCGCGAGCCGGGCCCGAACGGCGAGGGGCGAACGACGCGGGGGCAGGGGGCGAACGAGACGGGACCGAGACGAGGGGAGAGGCCGAGGGAAAGGCGAGGGGAAGGGGCGGTGGGCGTCGTCGGTGCGCGCCGTCGTGCAGGTGCGCGTCGTTGCTGCTGGTCGTTGCAGGTGGTGCCCGTCGTTGTTGGGGGTCGTGTTGCCGGTCGGAATTGGTGCTGGTCGCAGTCGTGGTGGTGCTGCTGCTGGTCGTGGTCGTGTTGGTGGTGCTGCTGCTGGTTGCGGTCGTGGTAGTGCTGCTGCTGGTCGCAGTCGTGGTGCTGCGGGTCGTAGTCGTGGTGGTGTTGGTGGTCGCAGTCGTGGTGGTGCTGGTTGTGCTGGTGGTGCTGGTCTTGGTGGTGGTGCTGCTGCTGCTGGTCGCAGTCGTGGTGGTGCTGCTGCTGGTCGCA